CAGCTTCGTCCCGGATGAGTACTGGCAGTCGCTGGAGGTGGCGCATCGCATGGTCTTCAAATATCCTTCGCGGTGCCAACCTTCCGCCCGTCCTCACGACCCCCCCGCTATCGCCATCGCTTCCTGCGGTCCGGAGGGGACGTGGCCCCGCTTCCCGAGTTTTTACCGTCCTGGTGTGACTGGAGAGTCACGGCCGCAATGTCGTGAGTGGGAGGAGCGCTCGGGTAGAGGTTTCCACGGCAGTAAGGTGTTAGCTTGACCGGTAACAAAAACCCCACTGCTTTTGGCCGCAAGGGGTAAATGTTTCGACCCGGACAAGTCTGAATAACGCAGCTCGAATGAAAGTTTTTGTTTCGGTCGGTCATGATGTATCCTTAATATTAATAATTATGGCTACCTAACTTGGGAATGGGCAAATGGCTTAAGGGGCTATTCATACCCACTGATCTTTGCAAGCATCTACAAAGCTTTACAGCTGCTGGCTAAAGATGATGTTCAGCTGCTGGTGAGTATAATGAAGACATACATCTGCTACTAAAATCCATTTTAAAAGCATTGTATTTAAATTCAGTGTATTTTTATCATTGTAAAATACAAAGCCTTGAATCTGGCAGTTAGAGATGTATGAGCACAGAGGCCTCACTGAAGTGTTTCACGTGGGTGCAGAACTCCTGGATCGCCAGTCACAGTACTGATGCCTGTGACTGCAGAGGATTATTCTTGGCCTCCATCGATCTCCTTGAGTTTCATATGGATACTGCTTTCCACTGCATCATAATTGCTCAGTGGTTCAGTTTTCCAAAGTGTTTAATAATACATATTTGTACTAAACTCACTAACAACAGCCCCTTTTGACTTCTATTGGAGATGAATGGCAAAGAATTCTGCTTTCAATTTCTGAATGCTTTTAGTTAAACATCAGACTTCCTTTGTTTTGGCAGAAATACTAGCCTTACCAAAGGACCTTACATTTTTTTTAAAAAATCATAAAAAGCTATAGAGAATATTCAGCAATTCACTATTTTCATGTCTGAACAGTCACTCACTAATTCAGTAGTCCTCTCTTCAAACGTGGAATTTAACACGTTTGTTGCAAGTAAAATTTTCTGTCTGCTTACATAGATATGGGTCCCTAGATTCGCACAGGCAGTGCTGGCAGCTTTTGCTGATGTGAAGCTTTACTCATTAGTGCAACACCTTGAAAATGCAGAAACAGCGAAGTGCGTGGTGAGTGTCAGCCTTTAAAAAATTTTTCTGCATGTTAATAAACACTGTTTGTTGCAGTGTAAACAACAGCAAAATGATACTACATCACACCTTGAAGAATTAGCACCTTCATTTAAAACTACAGAATTTGTTTTAATATTTCTCCCTGTGCATCCTGTTGTTCATAATTATTTTCAGTACTTCTGCCAGCTGTGTTCCTGGTTTACATGGTATTCCTGTACCAGAACTCTAACGAACACCATGGAAACTCTTCTTACCATTTTTGCTCTTTCCTACTATCCAATAAAAGGTCTCAAGATGGGGAGCAGGTGAGAAACTTTCTACTAACGGTACTGATAATTTTGGGCTTGGGATAACACCAGTCTACTGACATTGTTTAAAATGCAAACTTTTATCTTAAAATATAAGGCAACCAAACCCACCTCATTCATGTAGCAAGAGCTCTAGATCATGGAAGGAAGAGCAGTTGAAGCTGTGATACAGCTGGTATGTAAAATTACTATTCTCCAGTTCCCTTACACAAACTTATCAGTTTATAGGAAACTTTAATTTAAAGGACTGGAGTTTGTGGTAACTTGGGAAAAGATGACAAAAGCTTGTTTGGGTTCAGATATAGGTGAATTTATGGTCACGACTTTCTTTACCAGCTATCTATTTTAAAGTAAGTATGTGCTTCCAGTTAGCAACTCCACTGCTAATAAAGCAATTATATAGTTGGCAGCCTTCCAAGCAAAACAGTATCAGCACTGAGAGAATCAAAGTTAATTGCAGTATGAAAAACTTACGGTCAGAGATATGACAGTTTTTAAGTTGTTGAAATGTCACTGTCTGCAAAAGAATTGACCAAACCTTTTGATAAACTGCTGGTTTTCTTATATTCCCTCGTTCTAGCTGCAAATATTTAGCTTTGATAGCATTTGCAATTGTTATTCGTCCCACCGCTGTTATCCCATGGATGCCTCTGGTCTTCAGTCATTTTTTGCAAGAACAGAGGAAAGCAGACCTTATCCTATACAACTGCATTCCAATTGGGTAAGTTCTTTCTGAATTTAAACTATGACTGTGCACAGCTATATCTTAAGATTAATGTTACCACTGCAAAGGCAGACAACCCCAAAAAGCTGATTTCATGTAAAAAAACAAGAAAAAAAGGTAAGAGTCCTTTTGCAAAAGTTTAAAGAAGGTACATGCTTCCTTTAAATTAATGTATAAGTGCAAAAAAGCACTAGGAGAGATTTAATGAGGGTGAGACATAAACAGCATTCAAGCTGTTTTTCTCGAAAAAGATTAGAAATCAGGGAGTTTTGACAGCTATTTGGGGAAGAGTAGAATCTGATATAAAAGTAATTCATGCGATATCGGTGCAACTTTCCATTTTTGCAGATTGGTCACAGTAGGAACCTCTTTAATAATTGACCGTGTGTTTTTTGGTGAGGTAAGTTGGTTTAAACTTGACTTTCAAGAAAAAGGTTGGGTTTTAGCATTTTAAGACTGATTGGATGTTTCAGACTTCTCTCACTTCTGTTATTTCTGTGACCGTGTCTGGCCTGTGATATCTAAATATATTCTAAGCCATAAACCCTTAAACAGTTATTTTAAATGATGGACTGTTATTTAACATCAGTATGCTCAGCTCTCAATAAATCACTGACTTCTCAGTTATTTTAAATGATGGACTGGTATTTTACATCAGTATGCTCAGCTCTCAATAAATCAACAGTTATCAACAAACTACAAAACTTACACACTTCTGTGTTTAAATGCTAAATATAGGAAGTATGTTACGAGTCTGACTAGGAAAAACAGAAGTATGAATGAAAATGCTGTATCATTTAAGGCCAGTGATGACTGTGTAATTCAATTTAGCTGTTGGTTTTCACTTTGGATTTGTCTTTAACTTCTTCCCCCACCCCCACCCACTCCCAAAATCTCTCAGTGGGTAGTGGTTCAGCTGAACTTCTTGAAATTCAACGTGCTGCAGGATTTGGGAGCGTTTTACGGATCTCATCCTTGGCATTGGTACTTCACTCAGGGACTACCAGTCATCTTGGGTACCCATCTGCCTTTCTTTATTCATGGCTGTGTGCTGGCACCAAAAAGGTATCGCATCTTTCTAATGGCAGTGATTTGGACAGTGCTGGTATACAGGTAATTTCTCTTAAGTATAACTACTATCTTTCACTTTTAAAGCTCACATCCTCTCTAGAACAAAAAAAGCATAGTATTGAGGTTAAGTGGTAGAGAACTTTAAACTATTCAAACACTCCCAAGAAATGCAGTCAGTTATACAATAGTTTCTAGAATTTTATGTAATACTACTTTTTGTATTGTTACCAAACATGTATTTTTAGAATTGAGTAGACTCTTCAAGAATAAAATAATTCAGCATGAAATTCAATGGAAAATGAAAAAAAAACAAACCAACCAGCACTCCATCACCTAACAGGTGTTTAAGCAACAGAACTAGTTAGAAAACTGTGTTTACTAGATGCCTGTAAATGAAAATACCATTTCATTTGGTTCTTTAATACATCCCCAGTAAGATGAGAGGTTCTTAGGCCTCTGAAACTTACTCCATTCACAAGTCTACACACAGCTCCTAACATTTATCATAGGACTGTATGTCGCGTTTTAAGTTGAAGAGCAGAAGAAAAGATAAGTTCTTTCTAAAGCATCAGAATTAACTGTAGATTAGACGAGACACACTTTCAGACAAGAAAAGATACAGCAAATTAATAAATACTAAGTAATAAATGGTATTAGGCTACCGTAGTCATAGAATACAACAAGACAGTAGCATGGCCACAAATGCCACCTCTTCTTATAGTCCAACTCAAAACTGGATGCAGTTGTATTGGGTTTACACCTTTTTTTAACTCCTTTAGTCTTTTAAGAACCTGTTTGGTTCCCATGACACAGGTCTTGCAGTAATCCCCAAAAAAGCCCCAACAGTTGACGTGGGGAATGGTGTAAAGTTGTATTGGCAGAGGTGAATGTTACTTTGTTAGATACAAACGTGTACTTGAATCTTATCTTCTCATCCACACTTTTTATTATGTTTCATTACAGAAAGCAAATTGGTGAAGTACTAGCTAAGTTATATCTAATAGTCACAGAATCAGAGCACTTAATTGCTAGAGTAGTAGCCAGGTACTTTTACTAGCTCTTGGTTTAAAGTGGCCAAATAATCTTAATTTTAATGTATTTGTTACGTTCTTAAAAAGTGACAGTTTGGATTTTTACTTTAAACTGCTTAAATGCCAAAAGCTTTTTAGTACATCCAAGTGCTTTTCTTCCAGTTCTCCATGCTCTAAAACACATTTTGTCAACAGAACCGATGCATTTAACTTTCTCACTGTAGTACCGTATCTGTTTTATTACAGCATGCTGACCCATAAAGAATTCAGGTTCATCTATCCAGTACTGCCATTTTGCATGGTTTTTTGTGGTAAGCATTGGTTTCAAATGTCTTGCAACCTTCCCTGTGTATAAATTTTACCTAAAGAGAGACTGTTAATAGTTAGTGTAGGTATTTGACAAAAGGGTAGTTAGAACTAGACTAACCTTTTCTTACAGCTAGGAAAAAAGAAAAAAAATTATGAGGAACAGCAAGTGACGGAGGATCGTTAGCAAGAATAAAAGTACCTCCTGCCAAAAAACATGAAAGTTGCCTCGGTGACTCCTAACTCTTTAGCAATGCTAAAAAGTGAATATTGTTCCTTGGTTCCTTTGTAGTATTTTTCTACCTGGTTGTCTCAGATATGCCTGACAAGTGCCTTTGAGTATGCAATAAAAAAATTAAAGTATTCAACAACTAAAATTATACTTTTCTAGATTCAAGTGTGTTAGTAGATGATGCTAGTTTTCTGTCTGCTCTTGACCAGTCACCAGCTGGAGGTTACCTCCCACAGAAGTTCGAGAGTAGTTAACGTGATAGCTTTTTCCTTCAGGTATAGTAAGGTAAATTTGTTAAAACAGGAATAAGGTCCCTAAACTAATGTGGTTAACTTGAAAAAATTAAAGCAAATCTGCCCATAGTTTAAACTGGAAAGCCTATTGTCTTTGCTAACAAAGATTTTTCTAACAGAAACTTTTAAAGTATTCATTTCTCTTTTTTTTCCTGTTCCGTGTTGTTTTTCTTTTAAACACAGAAAAGAGCCGAATAAGGAAGTATTTTATATTTTACAAAACTAGGCATTAATTACAGTAGTGTATCTATAGGAAAATAGATTCTAGTATGTTGAAAAGTTACAAAGGAAAGATTAAAACTTCTGGAACATGAAGTTGTATAGCTTTAGTTTAAATACAAGTTCAAAAGATGAATCAATGAAAACTGTAGTTTTCTTTACTCTGTTTTGCTAGTGTAAACTAAAGTAAATCTTATTTCACTAGTTTTGCCCTCTGCTGAGATCAAATATGTAGCATGTCTTGGCTTAGTTCAATAGCACGTTTAAGATGAACCAGTTCTACCTCACATGCAGAAAAATTTCAATCAGACCACTATTTTTTGTTAATATCGCTCTTAACTTTCATGTCTATAAGGGAATAAGGTCGTCTACACAATTTATCAAGAGCTAATTATCATCTGTTTGGATACTTTACTAAAGAAAAAAATGGCAAAAATTATTTGTGATAACTCAGTGGTTACAAAGAGGCCTTTAAATTGCTCTAAATATTATAAATAAAAGTAGAAAAAAACCCACATGAATGTCAAAGTCATTTCAAAGCACACTTAAAGATAAGCTCAGAGCATTTCACAAAAACAGTAAAAAAATGCCTGTAATAGAATGTTTCCACTCCTCTTTAAACCACAGACTAATTAGTGGACTTTGTTTTCATCTGAGATAAAGATCTGCAATTTGTCAGAACAGACCAACTGAAGACTAATTTAACTTGTTACTGAGTTCTGAAACGGGCCTATTCTAACTTGTTTCTTGTGATTCAGTAAAAGCGGGCACAGAGCTAGGCCGCGTAAAATGTTTTTTATCTCCCAATACTGACAAGCACATGACTTAATAAGGGTTTCCAGACTGGCTGCAACATGAAGCTGTCTTCTGTGCCAGGTTCATCTAAGTTGTCGTTGTGAGAAACAGGTTTATACAGCTGTCTCCCAGGAGGAGAAATGTCTCTTCCTATCATTAGCTCCTTCAAGAAAATGGGGCGGGGGG